ATTAGTCTTGGGTTTTTTGAAAGGGTTGGATAGTGAATCGACGTTTGAGGTCGTTAGACACTAGCTAAGTGGGTGGGGGAGAACAAAATTGTTCTTTTTGATCCAAGGATAGGCCTTGATGATCAAGTTTAAATTTAATTAAATAGAAAATGAATTAAGATCCAAGGATAAGCCTTGATGATCTGATTTTAAAATTAAGTGAATTTAAGTTTAAAATGGTTTAAATTTATTTAAGAAAAGATTTAGTGTTTTAATGATATTAGTGAGCTTATGATTGCTGTTATGTTTTAGGTGATGAAGCTGGGACAACTGATGATTTTATGATTACTAACAGTTTATTGTCATGCTACTAATTTTTATTTTGATTTTCACTAAATATTTTCCAAACATGTTTTATATGATACTGCAGATTTTTAGGAAAACGATCTGAGATCTTTTTATCAATCGTTATTGTATATTAATAGTTTTGTTTAGCGCCTGAAATGATTATGAAGATTGACTTCAAGATTTTATGTTTGCGAATGAAAATCTAAATTCATTGCTAATAAAATTCTAAAATAAAAGTCTGTGTTGGCTTTTGCCGTACTATCATATAACTATTTGGTAAGTTTCTACTTTGTCGTATGTCGTCTCTGGTTCGAGGTCTTCTTGCAATTCCGGGTAGTTCTGTTATCGTTCGGAATATTGGCTCTGATCTATTGAGTCGTAGAGACATTTCGATTAAATTATCGTCGTATAACATTTTAAAAATGTTTTGTCTAAATTCTAATCTATTTTTGGGTTAATTCTAAGCTATTAAGGTCTTGTTCGAGACTTATGGTCGCACCAGATGAGTTAGGACCGATGTGGTTAACTCATAGAGTAATTTCGGATAGGGTACACCGTCTGCTGGTCACGCTATCTTATTTTCGGCCGGATAGATTCGTGCAACTTCTTAGTCTAATACCGATCCTAATCTTACTCTTATACTATCTAGTCTCAGGTTGTTTAACTAGTCTCTGCTAGGCTCAATAGATCTAGGGTATACTGGTTTATTGCGGCTGCTGAAGTTCCTTAGGAGAGGCAACTAAATTCTAAGTTAAATTCAAATCTCTCTGGTGCTGAAATTACAAGTAATTTCAGCACTTACAAATAAGTGGGTTGTTAGTTAGATAGATCATGATTGGTTAATATTAAATACTTTACAGTGGTAAAATATCTAATTTATCCAATCATAAAATGTAGTTTAGATCAGGTTCCAACTTTATGTGCGTTAAAATTCGAAATTCGCATCTTAATAGTGTGAAAAACTTTGATTCTCTCGGAGTATCATTGTTTTTATCTATAAAAGTGAAAAATTGTCAATAATAATTAATTTGCAATTTAAATGCTTTATGAAGTAATTTCGATATAATTCAGTTTAACTTGATTATAATCAATTATTTTTTACTTATAGACGCTGACAATAAAACTCAAATTTAATCGTTTTTCATCCATATAAGTTCGGTGCAGGGGTGTATCAAACAGCATACAGCACGAATCTCATATACGTTTTAGAATTGAAAATCGTATCGCTCAGCATTAAAATTGAAACTCAAATTTCATTCTTGCCAATACTAAAACCATCATACCCAAAAATTTAAAAATCATAGTGTTTCCACACATTTTGCTTTAATGGCAATAAGTGTTCACTTCAAGCAATTATAGTTCGTGGCAGGGCGGATTTAACATTTTTTGAGGGATGAGCGAATTTTCAGAACGGTTTCGAAGGCTCATTACTTTTTTTTGTTTAGTTCGCCCAACTTTAAAATATTATCAAGTGGAACCCTTCGGATGGTGAGGGGTCGAATCCCTGAGGAGACCTCCCCTCTAAATCCACCCCTGGGTCGGGGTGTGACTGTTCACAATATAATTGCGTTTTGGTTGCATAATTTTCAAATTTTCTATTTCTCAGAAGTGCAAGTTACAAATTGAAATAATAATGACTGCTGCTTTGATTTTCGAATATCTTTACCTATTACCTCCCTAGTTTGCAAAATTAGGTTCATCGGCAGGTACAAAGTTCGCATGTCCTTAATCGTCGAACTATTTCAAAAAGGGGTTGCAATTCGTTTCATGGTACCAAAGGTGGGATAGTTAAGAAGGTCTTGTATTTCTGGGATTAAAGCTATCGAAAATTATGCTAGTCCATACACTTTCACATCTCCTAACTTTATGCTAGCCGCACTTTATGCTAGTCGAGCGGTCAAGCGGTCACCGGAAATAAAATACCAATTTCAATTTGTTTATGGGGAGGGGATATTTCGGGGCGATTACCCTTTTTCGCCTGACTGCGTGCTACTGGTTTAATAATAAATTATGTTTTTTGTTGAAATGAAAAATGATTGATTGATATAAAAATGGATTTTAACCAGAACTGAATAATACTAAGCGTCATATATGCTTGAGTCGAATGAGCATATTTGTACAGCTAAATTTTCGATCTATGTATAATTTACAGTTGAAGATTAATTCAATAATGGCACATATTTAATGAAATTAAACGTTACATCATTTTAAAAACATTTTGTTGCTGAGCTGGCAAATTATATATCTTTTCTAACTTCAAGGCCGTTCAATCTCAATTTAATAAAATTATATGTTAAAGACTTTTCAGTAACATTCTTTTTCAGTCGTAATTTTTTTTTGTGTAAACAAATTTGCGTTATTAATCATGAGTAGAAGAATGAATGATATCGAAATGAGAGATAGTTATTCAGATTTTGACTTCATCAGATTAACTTGGTGTGACACCAACGGAGTTCCCAGGTCAAGAGTAGTTCACAAGAGTTCATTCGAGTCAGTTCTCAAATCTGGAATTGGTATCACAGCAGTTTATGCCTTATTTGGAGTTGATTCGAAAGGGTGCAAGTTTCCGAAGCTGGAGAGGGCTGACAGTGATGGGATCACCAGTGTGCTGATGACGCCACAAATGGAAACATTTCACGCCTGTCCCTGGTCGGGGAAGGGAAAATACAAGGTATATTCCGGAATACAATAAGTACTTCAACTAGAAATTTAGTATAAACTATTGCGTTTTAAAAATAATTAAAGCATCGAATTTTGACATGAAAAATTGCTATGAACTACCAAAACTGGACTACAAAAATATCAGTTCCTCAAAATTAAAAAAAAAACTTTCTAAATTTTTTGAGTTTAATCACACATGAATTATATTGGTTTAAATTTCCTAGGTCGCCGAAGTCTTGTGTCAAATTCATGAGCAAAAAGACCCCATAGAGTTCTGCTATTATGACTCGAGACAGATCTGCCTCAAATTACTAGACCAGCTCAGAAGTGAGTTCGGGTTGGATTTCTACTCCAGTTTTGAGTTTGAGTTTGTGGTGACGAAGGGTGGGGAGACTTTGGGAACCGGAGCTCACCTTTGCTCAACTGTTGTTCTGAAGAAAACGGAAGACTTGTGCTTCGAGGAGAGTTTTAATTAGAAAGTTGAGCAGGCAAAAATTTATTGTCAACTCAAAACTGAAATTCAAGTTTTTGTAAAAATGTTTTGTGGCCGACCAAACTATTTTTTTAGCTCATCCAAAACACTATAAGGACCCTATTTTGTCAAAAAAATTCTGCCGTGTAGTAATATGTTTGAAAAAAAGGCCAAAGTTGACGTTTTAGAGCATTTTTGGAATGATTTGGTACGCATTCCCTCAAAATTAATACATTGGCGGCCGACTTGAAATGATTGTCATAAAACAGTACCTAAGGGACTTTTGGGAAAATATGGAAAAAAGTTTGCAACCAGAATTGAGGTGTTGCGGGCATCCCCCTCGGCACACTTCTGACCATGAATAATGATATACACGCAACTTTTTGCCAAAAAATTTTCAAACTCTTTAAGAAGGCAATTGATCCCAAAAAGAGGTTGTATTTTTAATGAAAAACGGCTGCAGCAAAATGAAATTGTACAGATTTTTTGTAACCGAGTTAGGTCTTCAAAGGGTAGGGAGAGAAAGTTTAACAAGCGAACAGTATTTCACAAGCAAACAGTATTTCAAAATTGGGTAACTTGGCTAAGTTAACAGCTGCGTTTTCCTTTCTTTCCAAAAATGACGCTCAGTTCTGAAACTCAAAAACTCTCCTAATAAGATCGCAAATCGGTTATTCGAAGCTGGGATTTCTGTCGAAGCAATCAACTCTGAAGCTGCAGAAAGCCAAGTTGAAATCACTATGGTCCCAACTCTAGGAATCGAATCCTCCGACAACGCATGCATTTACAAAGATTGCGTGAAGTGCACTGCTCTAGACCAAGGATATTCCGCTACTTTCATGTGCTGTCCATTTCCTGAAACTTACACTGGAGTCCACTTGAATTTTTCACTTCTGGAAAAAACTAGCGGGAAAAATGTGTTCACGGATAAGTCAGATGAGTTTGGCCTCTCTGAGCTGGCTCAGTTTTGGCTGGCTGGGGTTATGAGTCACGCCAGGGGAATGACAGCTGTGATATGTCCGAACAACAATAGTTACGAGAGATTGGCACCTGGACAAAAATCGACATCAATCAGGTACACTATAGTTCAAGACAAAGGTAATAAGACATTAATTTAAAATAAAATTATTGCATAAATCGATCTAGAGTTTTAAATTATGCGAAATTGAGTAAAAATATTGGGTCATCAGATATGCAATATTAGAACGAACAGAAAGTTCTCACAATTTTTCTTAACTTAGTAAAATAAAAAATGTATTACCTTAAACTTTACATAGTCACACATATCCTATACTTTGATCGTTATTAATCACTGCAGCAGTTAAATTGAGGCTTTTTTGAACAAATTTTTTTAGACGTTTTTTTTAGACGAAGTATCTTGGAACGAAATTGTATTTTAAAACTGCAGGGGACAAAATTTTTTTTCAAATAGAAGAGACAAGAAATAGTTGAGTTGAACTTATTTATATAAAAATTTATGACTCGTGCTAGAAAAATGGTAAATTTTTTATAAATTATTTTTTATTTCGGAAGAAGAAATAGGAATAAAATTGTGCGGGTGAAGAGAAACAAAAACCTGGAAACATATATGGAGTTCAAGACTCCAGGTGCATCAGCTAATCCATATCTGGTCATGTCTGCAGTGCTGGCGGCAGGCATGGACGGACTGCGACAGAAGCAACTGGTTAGTTCAAGTACCGCACTCAGTTGGTTGGGCAGTTTCAGATAAATAATTGGTTTGAAGACGCAATTTGATGATTCTTTCGTTTCTAGTCCACTAAAATAAACAAAAAATACACACGTCATAATCATGGCAAATCAGAACTTTTCCGTAACAAGCAGCAAACAGCTGAAATAATCGTCTTTTTTTTTCGTGAATCTTTTGTCTGAATCTATCATAACTTATAAAAAAATCCTTCTAATTTTGTATCACTGAATTAAACTAGTCTTTCATTTTACCTGACGTTTATACCCGGGCCGAAGGTTGTGTGTTTTATGATTAGACTGTGTTGCGATAAAATTCAGTATTTCGAGACTTTGTCCGCCTTTACAAAAACTTGACCCAAAAATGAATTTTTGGTCGCAGAATGAACATTGGGGACTTTGAAAGTATGGAAATAAGTCGCGGACCTCTACCCGGTTAGGAGTTCTTCATAGAAACCTTTGTGGTATTCATTGTGGTCTTCTACAGGTTTCTAAGATAACATTTATTTTTCTGGAATAAAAGCCTATGCCACATTAGTTCTCGCTAATTAACCATTTAACTAATTAATTATAAACTGACCTACGTTTCAGGTACCAGAAGAAGGTTTCTATGAAGACCTTCCGAAGGATTTAACCGAAGCAATTTCCGCTCTGGAAAAAGATGACGTCATCAAAAGTGGACTGGGCCATGACTTTGTGGACTTGTATGTGGCCCTGAAAACACAGAAAGAAATACCTATCATTGGCCATGATGAGCAATGGAAAACTTACTCTCAGTTGATTTAAAACTGAATAATATTGCTTTTTAGAATTGGCACATTTTGCTCACAAAAATCTGGGTTTTAATAGGTATTATATTTGTAACTGCCATTTATTGTGGTCTTCTTCTGTTAATGACTTCAGTCAAGGGATAGCGTCAGTCTTTTATCTGTATTGGATTTCTATTCGTACTCTTCGTGTATGCTATTTTGAATTGATATTGAGCGTTGCACTTTCGAAACAATTGATCTAAAATTGTCCATCCTTTTAATTAAGACGATTTATCCACAAGGGAAAGGACCAACATACGATTTGTCCAGCTTTTTACAGAGAACCGCTGTTGTGCCCCTGGTTAAGATTTACATGCAATTTTTTGGCTATTTTTCTGGGCTGGGTAATGTAGCCTCACCCTCAAGCAACGAGCACGGATCATGGTGGGCCTCGAACAACCGACTTTTCGTTTGAGAGGCGGAGACTTAACATCTCACCATCGCTAAGTAAAGGCCGAGGTATTTAATTAATATTTTATTTTAGTGTGGTTCTTGCAATTCGCAGAGAACCTCAATTATTTTTTCAAATAGCTTGTTTATTCGCATTGCTAGCAAAAAAAAATTATAATGGATCCTTGAATTGATCTGCTCGTGGGTTTTTTAAAATAGATTAAAGTGATATTCAGATAGATTTAGGTGCGGTTCGGATGGATTTTAGTGCGTTGGAAATCCATCCAAAAAATATTGGAAACCAGATCTGATCATCTTAAAATCTTGCCTAACTCAGATCTTGTCCAGACATGGTGCTTGTTTTGGTTGGACAAGGTCATGTCTGAATCAGGACTGAGGCAGGTATGGATTTTGCCACAAATGCAGACCTGCTCAAGGCCTGATTCAGACCTGGAACATACATGGGTCAGATCTGAACCAGATCTGAGCAGATCCGACCCATGTATGCTCGAGGTCTGAATCAGGCCTTAAGCAGGTCTGTATTTGTGACAAAATCTATACCTGGCTCAGTTCTGTTTCAGAAATGTCCATGTGCAAAGAAACCATGCATTATGTCTAGACAAGATCTGAAACAGGCAAGATTTTAAGATGCTCATACCTGGTTTCCAAGTTTTTGTTAGGTACGGGGAAGTGCTTTACAAGCTCAGAAGTAAAAGAGCTATAAATTGATAAAGAGCAGTAGTATTTTAATTGAAAAAGGTTACATTTACATTTTTGAAGGATGCCTAGATCTGATTTTAAGAATATTTATAGACCTTTTGCTTTCTTCCAAGGCACTGAATTTTTGCCTATAAGTTTTGTTTCACTCTTATCTTTTTTAAACCAGTTCATAATGTTTTTGTAACCGAATGCATCTTTTGAGCGGGTAGTACGATTTAAAATTTCTTCCAGCTTGTTTTTGGACGCTGCCGTTTAACTTAGTTCTCCTTACGTAAATTACAATTTATTGGCATATTTTATCCCATTTTTGGCTGTTCCAGATTTTTAAACCTAGCGTTTTCAAGAGGGTACTCAATGCACTCGATGTCAGTGTAAATCATAATTTCCAGTCCGAGCCTAACCTTTTGAGACATTTTATAACCACTACATCACCGTTATTTTCACGCAATCCTTAAGTGATCTGAAATTGAGTTTTGTATGACTTCCGGGATCTTCTATTGACTACACAAAAAAAACGGTACAAGACTTTGAGGTTTGCGTTTCCTTGACTCCATGAATGAAATAACAAAGCATTTCTGATCAGTATAAAACTACAGAAACGATTTTATTGAAATGAATTGATGATTTTAATTTCAAATTGGAAAAATAATTGCGTATATTTACATTCATTTTTTTGCATCCAGGCATCAAGAAATTAATTTTACCAGAACTGTTTTAGCTGAATCTCAAAAAAGTTGATAGATTGCGCGAAAAACGTTCAAAGCTCATCCGCTCGAAACTTTCCAATAAACTCATCGACAGTTTTGATAAAATAACTTCATCAATATCAAAAAATGAACTCTTTTCAATAAAATAGAGGGTAGAATGTTAGTATCATTTCAAGACAAGGCAGTTGGTTATGTATGTGGGCTATGCTGGATGGTTGACATTGACGTTAACTTGGTTCTTGGTCCCTCCCCCTGCTGACTGTGGCATCCTGAGGCAGGTGAGTGGACGGGGGGCTATGAGTCTGGCAAACTCCTCGTAGTCCACTTTACCCTCTCTGTGCTTGTCCGCGAACTCAACCAATTCTTCCACCTCCTGAACAAGCCAAGTAGAGTTTTGCCGAAACTCATACACAATAATTATAGGATCGGGTAGGAAAAATGGATATAAAATAACAACAAAGAGGGGAACCTTTGGGCGTCCAGGGTGCTCGAGCCCTTGAGAAGAAGGGGCCGAGTCCCGCTTTTCAAGTTTTCTGCCTCCTGGCCAACCAAAGGGGCCCCTTCGGTATATTTTAAAACATCCATTTTGCCTGATCCACCCTAAAATTTTTCGAAATGCGTCTTCGGCGCCAATATGTGCTAGCAGGGGCGGATCTAGGATTTTCTCGAGGGGGGGGGGGGGGGGGCTAATTTTCAAAAAAATTCGAAAATTTTGACGACCTTTTTTTTTAGGTCGACCAAATTGATTTTTCGAGCTCTCCCAAAGCACTGTTTTGCCCCTTTTTTCGGTGAAATATTCTGCGCCGCAGGCAAATTTTTGAAAAAACAGTCAAAAAAGCCGTTTTTGGGCACTCTTTGAAAAATTTTGACAAAAAAAATTGCGTTTTTTTGGCGCGAGCTCCCCCTCAAAGTTAGTTTATATTGGCGCGGAAGGCGCCTTTAGAAAAAATTTAGGGTCGGTCGGCCAAAATTGGATTTCTGAAAAAGTATCAAAGGGGGGAACCTTTGGGTCGACAGGGGGTGGAATCCCTGAGAGGGAGGGTCCGCCCCCCCCCCCGCCACACCCCCTAAATCCGCCCCTGTGTGCTAGCGTTTTTTTTCTAGCGATTTAGAGAGCTCGAAAAATCGGAAAACCAACTTAACCGACTTAAAATAGTTCGGCAAAATTTCTTCGGAATTTCTTAAAACAACCCCCCCCTCTCGAAAAATGCCAGATCCGCCCTTTACTCCAAAAGGAGATGTAAATAGCTATTTTTCCTTAATGTATTGCGTCCAAACCAAATTAATAAAATATTAAAGCCATTATTTTGTGGACTTCCAACTTTTCTATTTCGAAACTTGTGTCCTGAAAAATTGTAAATTGAAATTTTAGGCTCAAATTTTCCGACATGCTCAGATTTTCAAAATACGAAACTTGTGACCGATGTCGAAGTTAACACGTGTCTGTTAAGTACCTGTGGGGTGAGTTTTTCTCCTACTGAAGTGAGCATGGTGCGCATGTCTTCAGTTGAGATGAAACCACAGCTGTCCCGGTCGAACTTCCTGAAGGCCGAGATTATTTTGTCCACGTTGTCAATCGGACGTCCTCTCGCTATCTTCATCGCCTGCGAAATAATCAAAAGAGTTTTGTTTCTTCTTTCGTTTTTGTGAAAAAGTTAAGAACTTTTCGCATTTCTTGACCTCCTCTCTGTTTTCTGAGACGCAAAAGCATCTCTATATTATTGGCGATATCTAAAAGGATTTATGTGACAAAATTCTTTAAAAAAATTGCTTCATGTCTAAATCAATGCCTATTTGTTGTAGGGGCACGCTGATGTAAAAAGTTTTCGTGAGGTGGGAATGTTTTTTGAGTTCTTCCAAAGCATTACAAAAACCATATCTTACCACAAAATTTTTCGAAAAAACTTGAAAAGAAAACATTCTGGCGCGCTCTAACCTCAAAGCTAGTGAATTCTCAGCAAAACTTCAGGGTTTGTTAGCCTCATTTTAACAATGCAAATATCATTACGAGGCCATATTGTGCGTTTTGTGAATCATAAGCGGATTCCGCAACACATCGAAATTAGATTTGTTGCGGAATCCGCAACGTCGTTACTTTTCTTCGATCTTCTTTGCTGTTTTGGATCCTACAAAAAATAGCTGAAACACTGTACCGCTCACAATTGCTCCAAAATTAGGCCATATTGCGGAATCTGCAACAGTATTTGCGGAATCCGGAACAATTTGTGGAAACCGCAAATTGTATGTGCAATCTACAAAAAGTAGGTGGAATCCGCAATTTGTAAATGGAATCTTTATTTATTGCAAATTGCAATTACATGTGTAGTAGCGTTTTGAATTATATCTTTTATTTACCAGGTGGTCAGCGGCAATTTCAATCTAAATTGTGTCTAAGTTGATAAGCTACTATTTGAAATACCATACATTTGATCCCAATTCTTGCCCTCAATTTCGACCTCAACTCCTGCCAGCTTACAACCAGTTTCAATCTCAACTCCTGTCAAACACCCTATTTCGATCTCAATTCCTTCAAACATCCAAGTTCGATCTCAATGCATGCCAACTTACACTCAACTTCGATCTCAACTACTGCCAACTAATCGATGTCAGCTTACACCCAATTTACACCCAACTGATCCTGCCAACTTACACACCACTTCGATCTCAAATACTGCCCACTTCGATTACAAAAAGTTCCAACGATACTGAAGGCTACCACCCACATATTATGCTAACCAATTTTTAAGGATTTGTTCGCGGATTCCACTTGCAATTGTAAAGTCTTTGCTTTGAAACTCCGCATAGCTATAGATAAAAATCCCGATTTCAGCTTTTTTTTCTTAGTATGCAAATCAGTATGAAATGGTGGGTTTCAGTTCCAATTTGCGGAATCCACTTACAGTTGCGAATTTTGCTTAGAAATTTTTTGGATTCTACTTATACCAGCAAAATCCATTTAAAGTTGAGGAACCCGGAACAACTAATTAATTTCGCTTGTTACGGAATCCTCTTTTTCAAAATAAACGTGCTGAAAAACTTTACGTTACAGGTATTTGTATTTGAAAACCACAGAAAAGTTGTAAAAGGAATCCACTTAAATTTTGTACATGTTTAGAAGTTTTTCTCCGGAATCCAGGAACGAACAGACACAAAATTGGGCGCATATCCAGTGAACAGTTTGGCCGCTAAAAGATCGACTAACAATTTTGCAATGACCGACAAGCATCGACTTTTACAAATGCAAACACACACAACATTTTGAGAAAAACTTGAGTCAAAAAGCTTAAAACAGGAAAATGGTTTTAGAAAAGAAAAATCGGAAAGCTGAAAAACTTTTCTAGCAACGCAATTAGTTTGAAGAAAACTAATGCTTGAAATGTTGCCGTACCACATTTAGCTTACATCATGAACGATTAGAGTGAACCTTCGCAGCACACATACGGCTCCTTTGCCCTACCTTTGCAGCACTCTTCTCCTGCCAGGAGATATTTTTTGCAATCGCAATTAACAAAAAAAAATTTTGGGTTCTCTTGGTAATTGGTTTTAAAATATATTTCTTTTCCTCTGAACAAAAGATTATGCTACCGCATGTAACCTACGTACTCGATGCCTAAGGTTGCTTTTTTCTTCCATCGTTCGAATCGTCGGATAAATTTTGACACATATTGCTTGCTCTTCGTTTTTTATTATCAGACAATTTTTTTTTAAAAATCTTTCGTTCGATTTCTGTTCTGGCACACTGAGTTTGGGATATTAAATATGGCAAAAACAAAAGTTGACAATCAAACTTAAGAACGAAAGGACCAGAAAAAGCTAGCCATGCTCAATGCGACGTCCATTTGAATAGCCTCAAAAACAAACTCAGCGAATTGAAAAAACAACAAATGATTGAAAAAAAAACAATGAATTTACCCCAGAACAATCTTCGGACCAGGCAGCAACCTCTCTCTGCATCAGTGCCGCCATAACTGTTACATAGCAACATCAACCAGCAGATTTAACATTTTATCTTCTCAGACAAGAACAACCGACCCACAGAGCACTTTAGAAAACCCAACCAGCTTGACGCAATGCGCAGTTCTACCAATTTATGTTTCAAAAGAATTTCAGAGAAGACTTGGACGATTTGACATCCTAGTCAACTATTTCAGCAAAGACCATTATTACATTTTTTCGATCGCCATCGTTTGATCGCAAGAACTTACACATAAATATTTCTTCTTTCGTTTGCTACCTTGGTGGAACCTCCCGGACTCTCGGATCTGCAAATGACCTCCTTCAATTCGATGATATATGAACAGTTTACAGTTAACAAAGTCCATCAAAAACAAAATTACAATGATGCCAGCATCTTGATAACGATGAAATAAAGCAGACAAATCTTGTCCTTTTTAACGATTGGCTAAAAATTTTTTTTCTTGGCTTACGTATACTTTCCTCAAGAAAACGACTCTTACATCAGCAACAGTATACGCAATTATTCGAAATCAATTGATTTTCACGTAAAAACTGACGAAAAAAATGATGCAACTCACAACATCACAGCAACCTCCACGACAAAAAATGAATAGCAACAGCTCATCTAACAATACTTCTTCTCCACAACATTGATCACAGACGCAGATCTCAGTGAATCGACAGCGGTAATGGCATAAAGATTGTCTCCTACTATACGTGCCAGTTACTTCGATACATGGAAACAAGTACATCAGCACCTTGGCTTAAACAGATAAGAAAAGCAACCACGGTTACTTACAACAACAAACAGCGTTTTTTTACACCTAGAAGAATGCCAATCTACGGAGGAGTTTTTCATTGATAATTTGCTCGACTCCATGAAAGATAGAGAACGACCCACCCAGTTTGCTATTTACCCCTTCGGAACCCTCAATAAAAAGTTGATCATAAGAGAGCATACATCCAATCATCAAAGCACCTGACACGGCTCTGCAAGCGAATGCAACAGTCATGGATGTACCACTGGTCGGCCAAATTCCTACATGTTAAGAATAAACGTCGCACGTGACTTCTCAAACCATTGAGCTAAATCTCCGGAAAATGCTGACCTCTCAAAACTTTGATAACATTTGGAGAATGGAATCTTTTGGTACATGACACGTCGTATATTTATTGAGAGACGAATATCATGCAATGCGCATAATTCGAGAGGGAAAAGTTCACGAAAGCAGCCAGGACTGCTATTAAAAACAGTGCAATTTTGATCAACATTCATGTTTCAGCACCCCCGGCAATTCAGACAGATGCAAAAAGACTTGAAAAAGCACTTCGATAGTCTGGAAGTACATCAAAACACTATTTCAAGTGACTTCATCAAAGAATGCATAAGAAAATTTCTACTCAATGAAATGCTTTCAGCGGGATGGATTTTCAATTCATCCATCATCAACCCAATAAGCCTCTAAGACTTTGTCGTCTCCCCAACGCAAAATTCAAACACAAAGAAGTTTGCCTGAACAACATGCTTTCGAACAGACCGTAAACACTCCGCAAACTTCTGGACGTAATAGGCCGATTTATCAAACCCAAAAACCACATCAACACCAATTAAGAAGGTGTGCGTATGCAAGAATCTGCTCTGTCAGAAGATATAAACTTTCTCCGATTTCTCTAGAGAACCGACATACCATAGCTTCATGAAAACACATATTTTGTCTTTGGAGCCAATTTAAGCGCCTTCTTGTGCCAATTTTGAACTGCAAGCTTGTAGTGACCATAACAAATCACTTTTCCCTCGTGCAAAAATTTTCACTGAAATTTTTCAACCTGGGCAATTTTTACGAATTAACCGATAGCCTCAGCGAAGCGCAAACACTCTTGAACAACCTGCGACAGGTCTTTCTGATTGGTAGCTCGACCTAACGAAAAAGATACTAACTAATGGCAACATCCTTTAAAAAATCCTGAAACGAATTGAGCCATCATTTTTAAATGTTTGTAATTTCGTGGAATTTAACCAGCGATTCACTCGTTTTCATACAAACCAAGTTCTATAAACTTCCGAAAAAAAAACAACTGAATAACTTTGCTTCACATCTCTTCATAAGAATTCGTCCCAATAGGAAATGCCACGCCAGTTACTATTCGACTCCGCCCTATTCAGCAATTTTTTTGGAGAAATTGATTTTCACGGTCGAGCTTATCATCAAGAAAATCTTGCAAAAAGTTTTTCAATCTACTAACTGCTTCCGTAACCTTTTTCCTTAATCTAGACCAAACCACACAAACAAATAAATATCGTTTGCCTAGAAAAAGTTGCACCTTCGAAGAAGAGTACGATAATCAATTTTGAATAACAAGCTGCTCTATTCAGATTCCACAACGGCTTAATATCGAAGAAAACTGCTTATGGACTGACTGTTGCTCACAGTTCTATAATGGATATACTGATTTGAAAAAAAAAACTGCATCCAACTGTAGCAAACAGCCGTGTTGGAAAAAATTCTTTCTTAGCAGCAGAAAAGGAGAGCTCCAAAACCTCTCGTTGCACAGTTGTGTATGAGATTTTTGGAAAGTTGCAATCTCTTTGGAATTTAAACAGAGCATATGCACCTTACTTTGGAGGAGTGTTAGAAAACTTCA